AGAAACACGGTTTGTCAAAACACAGAACGGATGAGTGGGCGCCGGCGTCTCTGGGGCTGCTCTTGCTGCATCAACGTCTTTGTCAAAGTTGAAACTAATCCTTGGTCGCTATCAATTGCCTTTTTTTTTTTTTTTTAAGTTTTTGAGCCATGCCCTGCAATGCTCAGGGGTTATTCCTGGTTCTGCACTCAGGAATTACTCCTGATGGTCCTTGGGGGACCAGATGGGATGCTGGGAATCGAACCCGGGTTGCCGCGTGCTCCCTACCTGCTGTGCGACTGCTCTGGCCCCCAACCCTCCATCTCTTCCTCCCAGGCGCCGCTGTGGCCCCATCCTGGCACTCGGAGGTCCCTGGCTGGGGTTCTGTTTTCTTCCCTGACTTTGCCCCAGTGTCCCTGCTGACTTCCCCACTGCGGGTGCCTTTCCTGCCCTCAGGCCCGTGGTTGGCAGCTGGTTTGGGGGAAACGGAGGAGAAGCTGTCGGCGCGCCGAGTATCACAATAGGGCAGGCTTTGTCCAGGGGCCTTGGTGCAGATCCACTGACCTTGGAATCCAGTGGCTGGGGACAACCCAGGGAGGCGGTTTCCGTCCTTCTCCGGGCTGCAGGTTTTAATGTCTTCTTTGTTGGCCTGGGCCCCTGGAGACTGGCCTGAAGGGAGAGCCTTGAGGTTGCTCCCTCCCGGCCGGACAAAATGGTGCATGCTTTTCCTGTTTAAACAGGGCGCAGTTGTGAAGGGCCCTGACTTCGCACACACCAAGGCCTGGCAACGGCTGCAATAAATCAATAGGAAAATAGAAGCTGCCAGTTAGACTAAACAAGTGCATTTGCAAAGACGGCTAGCCCTCATTAATCACTCTGACAGTCCTAAAAACACATTTCCCCTTTAATGACTGTATTTGGATAATCAGTGCTTTTTCCTCCTCAGTCAGAGTTTGAGTAACAGACAGCTGGTGTTATTACAGCCATTGCGGAGGGAGTGCTGAGATTAGGGTCGAAGAGAAGCATCCGCTGGAGGTCCCGGTGAACCCAGTTGGCTACGGAGCTGTTGTTATGCAATAATGGGGGGAGGGGGGGCTTTGTACTGCTGTTGATGGCTCCCGGGCAGCCCTGTGCACGGCCCTCCCCCAAACCTTGACACCCACCTGCATTACACCAACACAAAAGCCTCATGTGGGGTTTCATGGGCTTTGGCAGATTTGTGCCAGGTTGGGGCGGGAGGGGGCAGGCCGTTCTCTGGCAGGGCGGGAGGAAGATGGGTCGATGTGATTTGGCTTTGTTTCCTTCCTTTCGGTGACTTTGGCTTTCAGGAGAAAGTTTGAAACCCAGCACATTCCTCTTTATAAATGATGTAACACATTAATGCACAGCACATTATGAAAATGGTAATTCAAACCCATAGTGCTCCAAATTAAACCATACATTATCGGATGCACTCAACCATCTATTTTGCAAGAGGACAGGATGAATGAAATCAAATCAAACAGAAACCCCGAGTGCAGCTTCCCCTACAGAATGATGAATCAAACGCAGAGCCGCAGGATTATTCTAAGACGGATTGTGCCGCAACCCAGACATACATCAGGCAAGAGTTCATCTAGTGAGAGACTCTTCAGGGCGTGCTGGCTTGGCCAAGGCAATTAGGGCTGCACGAAAATGGTGACGAGCCCCGACCCCCCCAGCCCCCGACTTTCTGTGTGGGTTACTGTCTTCTCCGGAGAGGACCTAGGGGTACCTGGAAAATGAAGACCACCAGGCAGTTCTGCTCCAAGCCCTCACCTGAGGCAGGCCCTGTCCTTCCCCGTCCTCTCTTCCTCCCAATATTGCACCCCAGGCCACCAAAATAACCAGAGAATAGGCTTCAAGCCAGCGGTGTCCAGTCTCAAGGGCCAACTCGGGCTTCAATCCCTCCTGGGGGTGGCTTGGGCCCACCGTGCCCCATTTCTGATGCTTGGCGGAGGTTTGGAGGAAGAGGAGGCCAAGCGTGAGGAAGAGACGAAGGTAGAGAAAGGGGCGAAAGTGAGTCTCGGAGAAAGGAATGGCAGATGAATTCATCAGCCGAGAAAGTTACTGCTCTTACAACTCCAGTGAGACTGGCTACTGAAAGGAACACAGTCCCCACCGGCTCACTGACACACCAGGCATGTTTTCTGGGAGTGCCACCAACTCTCTACCTGCTGGGAAAGCTGACAATCTGGAGAGCAACGGTTCTGTAGCCCCGTGTTTCTCGACCTTTCCCAGGCTGTGACCTCCTGACCCCGTTTCCTCCCTCCCTACTGCCCCTACTACCCGCTGACCTTGTCTACTTGATGAGATAGTAGACCTTAAAAGTTGCCTACTTGACGAGATAGGCACTTCAGGAGATAGTAGACCTTACGAGCTGTCTACTTGATGAGATAGTCACCTTACAAGCTGTGCCCTTGGAATATCCTGAAGACCCCCAGGGGACCCTGTGGGCCCGATTGAGGAGAGCTGCTCTAGATTATGCCGCACACCTTAGGGGGCGCCGTTTCCAGCCTGCATAAACTCCTGGGAGGGTTTGTGGGGGGGGGGGGGGGAAACGGCAGTGAGTTTCTAACCTGCATCCTCACACCTCAGGCAGTGGTGGAAGCGCCCGGTACTCTGCCGACTTGGCCACTGAAGGGGGGCTCAAGCAAAGGGAGGGAAGGCTGGACCAGCGACAACCCCCACTCCCCCCGAAAAGGAAATGGACCAAGAACTCAGAAGAATGCCAGGAAGGGCCTGGGCTGCTGTCTCTCTGGCCATTGCTCCCAGACCCGCTTGGTCCTTCCCTCCCCGGGGAGGGTCTTAATGGGACCAGCGCTGGCGCTTCCCACAGGAGCCTGGAGATGTGGGTCACCCTTCTGCTCCCCAGAGACCCACAAAGCATCCTGCGCTGTGGAGAGGGGGTGGTCGGGGGCAGGGGGCAGGTGCCCCGCGATTCCCTGGTCCCTGGCCTTTTGGCCCTCTGAGAGTGGAGCTATGAGGGCAGGAGCCTCAGTGGGCCTCAGACAGACAGAGCCAAGGGAAAAGGATGCAGAGACGTCACTGCCCAATCCGGCCACCGCCAAGCTGCAGGGGGCGACCTGGACACGCGGCGCCCCAGCCCCCACCCACCGCCTCGCCTGCCCCAACAACCAGAAGCCCCCGACGCTGGTCCCAGTTCACGGGAACAGGGCCCAGGATAGCTGCTTGCGGCTCAGGGAAGCCTTGGGGATGCTGATGACCGCGGCCGCCAGCCCCAAGCCAGGCGGCGCGCGGCCCTCAGCAGCGCATCCCATGGGTTTCCAGGTGTGCAAAAGGCACGGCCAGGAAAAGGGACCGCCCAGGTGTCAAGAGTGGGCAGCTTGTCCTCGTGCCACGAGGTGGCGCCAGAGGCACGTCATCCTGGCTGGCCCGCAGGGCCCGGGAGGCCACGCATCTCTGCGCCCGAAATCCGGGACCTGGAATCGAGGCCCAGTGGAAAATTCGCATTTGCACTCTCCCTCTACCCAGTCCCCAGAAAATTTCAAGGCCTCTGAATCGAGGCTGGGAGCTAAGAATGCAAACAGAAAAGAAAAATAATCAAGGCAGCTTTATGTCATCTAGGATGCGTTGACAGTGTTTCTTCTCTTTTCCTCCTGCCCTCCCCGATTTCTCGACGAAAGGCCACAAACTCGGCCTTGAATGGAAATCGCAGGAAGAGACCATGAAGTATTTCCAACAATCAAAGGGCATTCGCTTAGGTGTCCGGACAGCAAGAGAGAAACACCACAGTGTGAATATAGCCAAGTATTCCATTTATTAACAAAATAAGTCTTACCAAGGGAGCGCTCTGTTCACCCCAAACAGGACCCGCAGTGCCCCCCACTGCTGCTTAAGAACAGGAGGAAGGGAAGGTGTAGGGAGAAAACCCGGGCCAGCCTCTCCAACCGGCTCTCCCAGGGCCCACAGCCAGCTCCTGGACCCCGCTGGGGCAGGCCTGGGGGGTGGGGGGTGCTGCTGGGAGCTCTGTGCCCCAAGACCCCCCAACATTCTGCCGGGGCCTAACCAGGCTGTCCCCGCTGCCCTGTTTTAGGAAACACCACCCGCCTACCACCGGGAGAGAACCACAGCCCAGGAAGGGAGAGGGAAACCACTAGAAAAGCACTTTGCAAAATATAAAGAGCAAAGTTTCGTGTCAGAAGGGCCTCTGAGGACTTCCCTGGGATCTAGGAGTCCCGAGGACCCTGCACCCGCCACCCCCGCCCCCAGTGGGAGGGACCCGGTGGGCAGGAAGACTCAGCGGGAGGCCACTGGGGCCTCTCTGGGGGTGGCTGCTGATGGGGACAGGACTCTCGTGCTCAGAGCAAGGTAGGGGTGCAAGGCTGGGGTTTGGGGGCCAGGTTGCACATCGCAGACCCCGGGAGGAGAAGGCTGCAGGGTCATGGAGCCACAGAGCACAGCACAAGCCCCCCTGCCACCAAGGACGCGAAAATGTCCTCTCAGCTGCTGGCATAAAGAAAACCACCCCCCCCCAAAAAAAAACAGAACCTCAAATGGAATGAGGGGAACGAGGCAAAAGAGAAGAGGCAAATGCAGCTTTAACCATTAGACAGCATGCAAGAACTCCCCAGGATGAGCAAACAAAACCTGCAGAAGGACCCCGGGACCCAACTCTCCCTCCTCCCTGGAAAACCAAACCAATCCAAGGGGGGAAAACAAACAAAAAGGGGGGTAAAAAAAAAAAGTAAAACTTAAAACCTAAGGGCAAACAATTAACATAAAGGAAGAGGGGTGTGGGACATGGAGTTATCTGTGTGATTAATAGTATCATGGGGGGGCGGGAACACGGACTCTTTGCATACCATTGACTTGTGTGGGCCGTTAATGCACTTATATTCCCAGCTTGTAAGCTAACATTATAGTAAATAAATACACAGTCCGGTGGGGAGGGGCGGGCGGGCGGGGACAAGCAGTCTGGAGGCGGCGGGCGGCGGCAGGGCAGGGCAGGGCAGGGCAGGGCAGGAGGCGCGGCGGGGCGGTGGTTACTGGTATCCCAGGGCCGAGGCTGACGCGAGTCTCTGTCCGTACAGCGCGTATGGCGAGTAGTAGGGTCCGGCTGTGGGCAGGGAGGGCACCGCCAGGCCCCCCGCCGTGGACAAGTGGCTCTTGCCATAGGGGTGGTACCGGCTCAGCCCCAAAGTGTGTGGACTCCGCAAGGACAGCGAGCCGGGGCTGCCCGGGGCGGCGGGCGGGGGGAGATGCAGGTGGCAGGAGGCGGCGGCGGCGGCCGCGGCGGCGGCGCTGCCCAGGCTGGACGCGCCCGGGTAGGCGGCCAGGAGTTTCTCGGCGCCCGGCAGGGCGGTGTGAGTCCGGAGGTGGCTGAGCAGCTCCTCGGAGGTGGCGAAGCGCTTGTCGCACGGGCCGCTGGCCGCCACCCAGTTGCAGCTGTGCGGCAGCGGTTCGTTCTGCAGCATGAAGCCGTAGGTGTAGAGCGGGTGGCCGGGCAGCGCGGCCTGCGCGGCGCTGGACGAGAGCGCGGCGGGCTGCAGCGGGTGCCCGGGGTACACGAGCGGGTAGCCGCCCGCCTTCAGGCTGGGCCCCGCCGGGTCGTGCGCGCTGCAGGTGGAGCAGCTGGAGCCGCCGAGGTGCGAGGCGCCGTGGTAGCCCCCCAGGCAGTAGGGGTCGCGGCATAATCCCTGCAGGAAGGAGGGCGGGGAGGCCCCCGTGAGCGGGCTGGAGCTGGGGGGCTTGCCCGGCGGCAGGCCCAGGCCCCCGGACAGCTGGCCTCCCACGAGGCCGGACTTGCTAGGATCCAGACCAGGCACGAACTGCGACGGGTAGCCGGCGTAGGCGCCCACGATGGAGCCGTGGTAGCCGATGCTGGAGGGCGGCAGCGGGAACACCGAGTGGCCCGGCTTGTAGGGGGACACGGGCGCCACGTGGCCGGCGCCCACCAGCGCGGCGGCGGGCGGCTCCGATTTGCGCCCGGACGCCCCCGGCTCGGGCCCGCCGCCGCCGCCGCCGCCGCCGCCGCCGTGCGCGCCCGGCTCGGCGCCGCCCCCGCGGCTCCCGGCCGGCTCGGGGCTGGCCTTGGGCTCGGGGTCCTTCTTGTCCAGCTCGCCGCCGCCGCCGCTCTTGCAGTCCAGCGGGTGGTGCGGGGAGCCGCCCCGGGAGCCGCCCGGCGAGGACGCCGACGAGGACGCGGAGCCCGGCGCTCCATGCGGGGGGAAGGGCGTGCAGGCGGCGCTGGGCACGCGGAAGCCCGCCTTGTCTCCGGGGGACGCGGCCGACGACGGCGCGGACGGCGCGGACGGCGGGCCGCTGTCCTTGCGGGGGTCGCCGCCGCCCGCGCCCTTGGAGTAGGGCTTGAAGCTGGACTTGTCCTCGGCCGGGGCGTCCCCCGGCGGCTTGACGCCCGCCGCCGCGCGGCCCGGCTCCTTCTCGGCGCCCAGCCCGTTGGCCGCCGCCGCCGCCGCGGCCACCGCGTTGAGCTTGGACGAGGGCGGCGGGTCCGGCTTGCCGATCTGCGAGCAAGTCTGGGCCAACAACGCCAGGGGACTCTTCTTGGCGTCCAGCTGTGGGAGACAGCGGCGGGGAGGGCGGTGAGACCCCGGAGCCGACGCGGCCGGCGAGGGTGTCGGGGGCGCGGCGCGGCGCGGGGGGGCGCCGCGGGCGGGCGGGGAGGGGGCGGCGGCGGGCCCCCAAGGGCCACCGCGGGAGGTGACTCTGCCGCCGTCGGGGCCTGGGGAGGGGCCGTGACTCGCCCCCGTTTCCCCCGGAACCGCCTGCTGCAGGCCCCGGGAGAAACTTAGGGCTCCAGTTTGGGGAACTTCGCTTGGGACGGGATTTGCGCGCGGGGACGGCCCGGGCCCGAGGCGGGGTGGCCGTGGGGGGCTCCCCGTCCGAGGGGGGCACCCCGCGAGTGGGGAAGGGGGCGCCTGCGGACGGGCCGCGGGCCGCACGGGCCCGGGGGGCGAGCACCTCTGGGCTGGACACGGGGTGCGGGAGGAAAAGTAAAGGACCCCGTGGGGACTCCGGGCGAGACCCGGCGGAGCAAGCACGGGCTCGGCCAGGCGAGCGCGCGGGAGGGAAGCCTTCCCGGGCAAGCTGGGGGAGGAGCGAGGGGGCTCTGTCCCCCGGCCGTCTCGGCGGGGCTCCCCCCGCCGGCGCCGCGCCGACCCCCGGGGTGCAGGGAGCGGGGACGCGGGCCCGGCGCGGGGCGGGCTGCGACCCGGAGACTGACCTCGATGGGGCTGACGGGAGTGGAGGACAGCGGCTGCAGGTACTCCGGGTGCAGGAGGTGGCCGGTGTGCGCGCTCAGCATCTTCAGGACCCTGATCGGGAGCCGGTTCGCCTGGCGCAGGGGGTCCGCCGGGGGCAGGAGGGACACCGCCGGCCTCTTCCCGCCGCCGCCGCTGCCGCTGCCGCTGCTCTCGGGTGTCCTTGGGTTAGATCCAGCGGGCGAATCGCTCATTTGGAGGAGGCAGCGCCGCTGGGGGGGCGGGAGGGCGGGGAGCACTGGGGAGGCGAGCTCCCGGGGCGGGTGGGCTCGCTCCGCAGCGCCGAGCGCGGTGCAGCAGTGGCTGCGCCTCCACCCCGCCGCCGCCGCCGCTGGCCCGGGCGAGCAACACAAAACCCTGCGCCTGCCGAGGGCCGCACGTCAAATAGCCGCGATCGGCAGCCACACTTCAAAGGCATCGCCGCGCCCGGCCAATCGCAGCTCTCGCCGGGCCGCGGGGGCGGGGACAGCGGCGGGCGGAGGCCGGCCCCGCCGGTGGGCGGGGCCAGCCTTAAAGGGGCCGCGCCCGCGCCGCCCCGCCGCCGCCGCCGCCGCCGCCGCCGCCGCCGCCGTGGCCTGTGCCACCTCCGCGCTCCTCCTGTCGCCCCGCCGCCAGCTGCGCCTCCTTTGCCCCCACCGGGGACGGGGCCACCGCCAGGGCTCGGGGCCCCATCCCCCGCGGGGTTCAGGTCTCCCCGCTCTCCGGTCCCTCCCTTCGCACGGCGGGGGCGGTCACCCTCCGGCCTAGGGCGGCTGGGCAGCGGGCCGCTGGGCACCGGCTGGGCAGAGCCCAGGCCGCGCAGGGATGGGCAGAGCCTCCCGAGGCCCCGCTCCGCGCCGGCTCAGCTCGGGGCCCGCGGCCGGGGCAGCGCCGCTCCAGCTCCCGCCCGGGACGCGCCCTGCCCGCCGCGGGCGACTTCGGGGGCGCGTCCCGGGCAGCGCGCAGCCCCCCGGCCACAGGTTTCGGGGGCGGGGGGCGTCCGAAGGCGCGTTCTGGAAGGCGGTCCCGGCCCGGCCCGTCCGAGGCTTAACACACCCTCCCCGCGCCTGCTAGCTGCTCTGCTCGGGGAGATCCGGCCCCCTGGAGATCCCGGGATTCCGTGGGAGTGGGGAGGGGGCGCGCGACGGTGCCCGCGGACCCCACTCCAGGGATGCGCCCCCTCCTCCCGACCCTTCTTGTTCCACGGAAAGCGCATTCGCGTTCCCCATCGACATTTCTGGTGTAAACAAGCCAACCAAAAGTTGGCAGTAAAGACAACAAGCGCTTCCACCCTCTGCCCCGCCTTCCAGGCAGAGCGAGCACCGCCGGCGGAGCCCGTGGCAGAGGTTCCAGAGAGTCCCGGTTCTGCCGGTAAACTTCCCGGCCGCCGGTCTGCAGGGGAAGGCGAGGCTGGTCCTTTGTGCGCTGACCTCTGCCGAGCCCGCGTCTGCGCGCGCGGCGCGGCCAGGGGAGGCGCGCTGGTCCTCGCCAGCACCGCCTGGGCAGCCCCAATCCATCATCACGCTGACCGTCAGGCTGTCACTTGGGGGCATCTCGCTCCAGGACTGCCCCTCCCTGCCAGCAGCGTGCCTCCACACCTTGAGACAGGAGAATCCGAGGCGGAGCGGGGAAAGGTGACTTCAAAGGAATTCTTCAACCGGAGAGGGAAAACTCTCCTGGAAGTGACACAGAGCAATCAGGAATCTGTCTCCTGCTCAGGAGTGGACAGCCTACGCCCAGGGCCGTTGTTCTGGGCAAACGTGTATGGTGTGCGTCAGCTACCCAGGCTTTCCTCCCCTGACTTGGATTCCCTTGGCCAGGGTGATCCCAGAGAGGTCTTCCATGCTGCAGCAGGAAAGGCCCATGAACGGGAGAGCCGGGGGTCCGGTTGTTTCTCTGCGGCCTCCTTCCCCCTGCCCCACAGCCCCAGTCGCTGTCCACTGCTGGGGCCAGAGTGGTAGCACAGCGGGTAGGGGGTTTTCCTCGCAGATGGCCAATCTGGCTTGCTCTCGGGCACCACGTATGGTCCATCCAGCACCATAAGCGCAGAGCCAGGAGTAACCCCTGAGATCGCTGGGTGTGACCTTCCCCTACCCCCCTCAAAAAGAGTCATTGCAGACTTGCTTGGACCTACAGGCCCCTTGGTCTTTGGGGTCCCCTCTACAGAGAGAGAGAGAGAGAGAAAGAGCAGAAGGAGGCCTTGCGAGTGGCAAAGGGGGCTTTGGTACCTCAGAGGCTGAAGGAGATTCAAAGGGAAAGGCTCCGTGGTGGTTAGCAGTCCAAGTCCTAGACCCAGCCCCGGAGTTCTCAGGCTCAGTTGTGTGCTGAGGGTCAGTGGGAAATCCTCTGGGAGCAAAGGGGACAGGGAGGGGAGGAAAGAGAAAGCGTTTTGAAGAAGTTGGAAGGGAAGGGGAGCTGGAGGCTAGAACAGGGGAAATAGAAAGGAGGGAAAGGGAGAGAAAGGCAGTGAGGGGCTGAAGCGGGAAGGGGACGCAGGGCAGGGGGCTGCCGGGGAGAAGGTGTGACCAAGCCAGCTTCCTTAGTCACAGCAGTTGTGGCTGATGGGGACAGTGGGTGCCCTACAGCACCGGGACACCAGGTCTATGTCCCCGTCCACCCTTCATCCCTGCCAAGTTCTAGCAAAGTTCTAGTGACATCCTTTCTTCATTTCTGGTGGCAGCAGGGACCCTTTGACTGGACCCATCCACTCTTCTTAGGAGAGAAAATAGAAAATGTACTTTGCCAGGCCTGTGGCCTCATTAAACCACGACTGGACAATGATTCCAGTCAGCATTTTACATTCATTAAACTGAAGGCTGACCTGCGCGGAGTCTTAGATAGGACCTGGTGGCCTCACGAAAGTGCATCTTGCCAAGGAATGACTTGTGAGCTGGGGGGCGTCAGGCTTAGTCTCTGCAGGGCAAGTTTATTAGCACCCACGGTGGGCACAGCAGTGTTGGGACTCAATGCTCCACGCATGAGAGTGGGACGGGCAAATGGTGCGAGGTTATTTCCGCAGGAAAGGAACCCACATTTCAGCAGAGAGGTCTCCTTTATCCAGGCCCTCCTCAGGTTGCCAGTGAACCATGATGAGAGAGTGGGGTGAGTTCTGCCTGAGACCAGAGACCCTGGAGGCCTGAGTGACAGACAACCCAGCGCTTGCTGAGGGGATTGGTGGCAGACATTGCGACTCTCATTTCATTCCAAGCCAGAGAGAGGGAGTGGTCAGCTAAGCACCCAGAGGCCTGTAGCTGGTGGTAGGCAAAGTGACCCTTTGGAGTCAGGGGTCTCAGTCAGGCCTCTGAAGTATGTCACAGTAAGGGCCCTGGGCAGGTGTGCCCTCCCACAAACACATAAATGTGTCACTTTGTAAAATCTAAGAACCCAAAAGAGACAATTTAGGTCCCAGGAAAGCAGTACAGTACCCTCTTCTCAGCCCAGGAAGCCTACCAGGAGCCCTAGCTATCCTAGGATTTCTATGGAAGTGATAGAAATGATAGCCCCATCTCAACTCTAGTCAAGTCTGTCTTTAAAGAAGGAAAAAGGGGGCTGGAGCGATAGCACAGCGGGTAGGGCGTTTGCCTTGCACGCGGCCGACCCAGGTTCGAATCCTAGCATCCCATATGGTCCCCTGAGCACCGCCAGGAGTGGTTCCTGAGTGCAGAGCCAGGAGTGGCCCCTGAGCATCGCCGGGTGTGACCCAAAAAGCAAAAAAAAAAAAAAAAAAAAAGAAAAAAAAGGGATTGGAGTGAGAGAGGACAGCAGATAGGGCGCTTGATTGCCGTGGCCACTCAGGTTGTATCCCATATGTCCCCTGAGCTCCTCCAGATGTGCAGACCAGGAGTCAACCATACATGATATTGGGATCAAACCTGGGTTGACTGCATGCAGGGCAAGTAGCCTATCCTCTGTACCATTGCTCTTACCCCTACACCATGTTTTTTTTTGGGAGGTGGTGGTGGTGGTGTGTGGGGATGGGGTGGGGAATTGTTCCCAAGTGGTGCTTAGGAGGTCTAATACCCCAGTAATTCTTTATCAGCCATTCAATATTTGGCAGCACTGCTCGGGCCCTGAGGTGCTGGGGGTCACAGGCCCACACCTGGAGGTTCTCAAGGGGCCGTATGCTACAGAGGTTAGAACTTGGCTCTGCACGTGTGCCTTGTACCTGAACTAGTCCCAAATCCCTCTTTCTTTCTTTTTTTTTTAAGTTTTATTTATTTATTTATTTATCTTCTTATATTTATTTATTGAATCACTGTGGGAAAAGTTACTAAGCTTTCAGGTTTAAGTCTCGGTCATACAATGATCAAACACCTCTCCCTTCACCAGTACTCATTTTTCACCACCAAGACCAAATCCCTCTTTCCTAATCTCTTTTAGCCAGTAATGGCAAGTTCATTCTGAAATCTAAATCATTGTCTTTTCCAGGCTTGGAAATTTGGTTTCCTCCCACCACTCAACTGATAAAACAATTTCCAAAAATTGCCAGTGACCTACTAATGGTTAAATCTAATGGTCTTTAAAAAATATCCATGGTCTTTTCTCATATTAGTTTTTTTCAACTTACCATTTCTTTTGTACCAGTTCTATATATCACTAAATTCATGTTCTTTTATTATTATTATTATTATTATTATTATTGGGCCGGAGCTATAGCATAGCGGGTAGGGTGTTTGCCTTGCATGCGGCTGACCCGGGTTCGATTCCTCCGCCCCTTTCAGAGAGCCCGGCAAGCTACCGCCCACACAGCAAAGCCTTGCAAGCTACCCGTGATGTATTCAATATGCCAAAAACCATCTCACAATGGAGATGTTACTGGTGCCCGCTCAAGCAAATCGATGAACAACGGGAGGACAGTGCAGTGCAGTGCCAGGGTTGAATTTCAGGCCTCGTTCTTTAAAGCACACACTCTAGCACTAAGCTGCACCTGCAACCCCGTTTTTTCATTCTTGTTGCCTAACTATACTCATAGAGACCAGTGACTGCTGTACACTTTCAGGCATGATCTCACCTGGTCCTTACGGAAGCCTGGGAGAGGTCTTGTCATGCCTCCATTTCACAGAGGAGTTATCCTGGGGTTTCAGGTCCCAGCAGGTTAGAGGTGGGCTGGGCTGTGAACCCAGGCAGTCAGAATGCCAGGAAGGTCCAAGGAGAGTTCGTTGATGAATGCATCTTACACATAGTCTGCTTCCACCCATCTCACCAGATTCTCCAAAAGACTCAAGGTAGGTGACTGCATTTTTTTTTTTTTTTTTGGACCTGGGAGGGTGGTGGCAGGGACACATTAATGATGCTTCTAGCTCTGCACTCAGGGTTACTCTTGGTAGTGCTTGGGGCACCATATGGGATTGAACCATGCAAGTCAGACACCCTGCCTGCTGCACTCTCTCCAGCCCCTGGGTGACTGCATTTTTCAAAATGTTTACTCTTTGCCTACATTAAAGTATCTATTCCCAAACC